CAGCGGCGGGGCTTGGGGCTGCTGGGTGCCAGCCCCCCTGCGGCCTGTGTCTCTGCTCCCCCAACCCCAGCACTGAGGCAGGGCTTGGGGCTGCTGGGTGCCGGCCCCCCTGCGGGCTGTGTCTCTGCTCCCCCAACCCCAGCGCTGAGGCGGGGCTTGGGGCTGCTGGGTGCTGGCCCCCCTGCGGGCTGTGCCTCTGCTCCTCTGACCCCAGCCCAAGGCGGGGCTTGGGGCCACTGGCTGCCGGGACCCCTGCGGGCTGTGTCTCTGCTCCTCCATCCCCCCAGCAGCACTGACCAAGCAGGCCCAGAGGCCCTCCACCAGTGTGTTGAGGCAGAACGCCTGCGTCATCACCAGGCTTCACTGCCACTTGGAGCCTACGTATGCAAATTAGCCGCCATCTTTGTTGGCAGTTAATTTGCATATCGCCCTAATTAGCCAATGGGAAGGGTAGCGGTCGTACGCTAATTACCACGTTTCTCTTTTATTAGATAGGATTAGTCATGACAGGTTTAGGGCTGATCCTACCCCAATGTGACCTCATCTTAACTAATTACACCTGCACAGACCCTATTTCCAAACAAGCTCATTAGAGGTTCCTGAGGGACATGAATTTGGCAGGAGACCCATTCAACCCAGTACAACCCTTCTTTGTTGCTCTGCCTCCTGAGGGGCTGTCAGACCAGCGATGAGGACCTGGTGCCCGTCCCCGGGTTGCCCCTCTCCTTGGAGACCGTGGTGGAACTTGGCAACCAGCGGAGCAACCCTTCCCGCACCTTGTCCCTGAATTCGGTCGACACGTAATAGTAGATGAAGGGGTCCACGCAGCTGTTGAGGGTGCTGAGTGCCAGGCTGGGCACGTAGGCAGCGTACAGGTTCCCCCAGGTCTCTGAGCCTGGGTCCGAGTAGTGCAGCAGCAGCAGCACATTGCTGGGCGCAAAGAAGGCCAGGGCCAAGGCCAGCACCAGTGCAGTCAGCCTTAGCGCGTGGCTGTAGCGCTGGCCTCCAGCGGCCAGTGAACACAGGGTAGCCCCGTAGCAGAGCAGCATGGCCAGCAGGGGCAGGAGGCAGCCAAACACGGCCAGGCAGACGAAGGTGGGTCGCCAGTAGGAGTCCTGGGTACCTACGGGATGTGCGTCATGGCACAGCACATGATCCGATTGTGACACGTTGTAGGTCTGCCGCTGCAGCCCCAGGGGCAGCACCAGGGTGGCCGCCACCAGCCAGGCCAAGGCACAAAGCCCAGTGGCCAGGCGCGGGCCTCGCAGGGCGCGGGCCCGCAGTGGGTATACCACGGCCAGGTAGCGGTCCAGGCTGATGGCAGCCAGCAGTAGCACAGAACAGTACATATGGCCATAGAGTGCGGCTATGTCCAGGCGGCAGGCGGCCTCGCCAAAGGGCCAGCGCTGGCCCCGAAGATGGTAGACAATGCGGGGTGGCAAGGTCAGGGCCAGCAGCAGGTCGGCAGCTGCCAGGTTCATGAGCAGCACCGTGGATGGCAGCCGAGGCACTCGCGTGGCCAGCACCCACAGTGCCAGGCCGTTGGCAGGCAGCCCCACCACCAGGACCAGCCCATAGAGAGCGGGCACCATCCTTGTGGGCACCCAGCCCAGCAGCAGCGCCCGTGAACTTTCCAAAAGCTCCAGAGTGTAGCTGCGGTTGGCACAGGGCCTGCCGGGGAAGGTGCGAGGCATGCAAATTGTTGCCCCCTGGGGTTTGGTCCAAGGTTCCAGCTGGCCATCTGGGGGAGGGAATGGGGATGGAGGCGTCATCTCCTGCCTTTCAACCAGCCCTCCTGCTGGATGGTCCCCCCACAGGGGCTACAGCCCAAGCCCCAGCTCACAGGAGCGCCCCCCAGGTTGGTGGGACAGAGTTGGACATGGAAACCCTTTCCCAGTGGGCTCAGGGCTGAGCTGGAGGGCCCCCCAGTCCCGTGTCCTTCCGCCCATCTATCATGCTCCCCCAGTCCCAAGGCAGCACCTGGAGTCACTCACCATCTCCTTCCCCTGCGCTCCAGCCTTCATCGTAGACACTGGGGGTTGGGGTTCCACCCTCAAGGCTGAATCCCAGGGCCAGGGGCCCTAGAAGCAGGAGCGCCCACATGCTATCGGGGCCGGGCGCCGGCTGCTCTGGGCTTCAGCCAACTGGCCTTGGGCTTCCTATCTGCTGGACCCCCACCCCCAGCTTCCTGAGTGGAGGCGGGGGAGCGGACAGGGCCAGTGAGATAAACCAGCCCCTGCCCCCAGCCAGCCTGTGGGAGGCCCACGGATGACCTAAGTGGCCTGGTGGCTGGGGCCACTTTGTCTGGCAGAGGTGCCTCACGGGGTACGAGTGCTGGGCCAGTGAGATGGGGAGGAAGTCTCAGGCTGCAGCAGCCCCACCACCCAGTCCAGACCAGGAAGCCTGTGTGGGCTAAGTGGTCACTTCCTGCTGGCCAGTCACAGCCACCGTTCTCATAGCAGCCCAGTCCTCCAGGTCACGTCCTCCATCAGGAGCTCTTGGCCCTTCCTGAAACCTCGTCTCTCTCTGGTGGGCAAGACTAGAGTCCTGCCTTTCAGGTCATAGGTCAGAGCAGGTGAACCCCCTGTCCCACCACATGTGCCCAAGCCCCAGGTCCTCTATAAGGTCTGCCCTGCCTTCTCGCCTCCTCACCCATTACCCAGCACGACCGCCTGGGCATGCGCCAAGTGAGGTGCCGAGAGGGGGAGAGGGGAACGCACCTTGTGAGTTGGGTCTGCGGGGGAGAGCGGAGGAGGCGTGAGCCCTGTTGTCGTGTTGCCCTGAGTGTCGAGGGGAGCCCGGCGCGGCCACCTCTGGGCGATGTCTGTCCTGAGTTCTCCAAGAGTCTTTTGCTCCTGCCCTGGCCCCACCCCAGCCTGACTGGGAGGGATGGTCACACACATCCACATCTGAGGCCAAGGGAGGCAGCAGGCCAGCCCAGGTCGGGACACCGGAGCCATTTCCCAGGGGCCCTTCTTCCTCTGCCCCCCCACATTCCTGTATTCTGATGGCGGCCACTGTGCAGATGAAGAAACTGAGGCTCAGAGGGAGGGCATTCCTCTCTCCTGCACCCAACCCCCACCCCCTCTCCCCTCCAGGGCCTAGAGAAGCCTCCAACAGTCCAGCCAGGAACTCGGCGGCCTCGGTTCTGTGTGGTCAGGCCTGGGCCATGGGCCTGTGTCTGGGAGCAGGAGGATCCCAAGGGGCAGTGGGGGTGGTAGAGGGGGTCAGATGTGGTGTCTTGGCACAGCCACCCTAATCTCGTCACTCTCAGGGACACAGAGACCAGCAGGAAGTGACTGAGCAGTTTGGACATGGCCAGAGGCTGAGATGCTGAGTCCCTGCCCCCAGCCCCGGGGTGAGGGGGACTGAGGCCTAGAGCACTCCCGCTGGGCCAGGGTCTCAGCCAGGGGCTCTCCCATTCGGAGTGGTTTCCACCAGTAACAAATTCAGCCCATGCCTACGTCTCTGGATGGTGCACAACTGATGATGCCTTCAGCACAGGAAAGCCAGGATGGGGACCCTGCACCCTCCAGGAAATTTGTGCACGGGGTGCTGGGGACGGGAACACCGGGCCAGGGCAGA